ATCACCTGGAGAGCCTGTAAAAACACAGATTATTGGCCTCACCCTCAGAGGTTCCACTCACTAGGTCAAGAGTAGGGCCTGAGAGTTTGTGTTTCTAACAATTTCCCAGGCAGGGGATCCTGCTGCAGCCGGTCAGGGGTTACACTCTGAGAACCACTAAAAAGCACAGGACAAATGCCAGATAGAGTTACAATGGTCAATCATTAGGCTTGTCCAGACTAAGCAGTAAAAAGGGAAAAACTCTGCTATCCAGGAGAAACATGAAAATAAAAAAGCATATAAAAATAGTGGAATATCTAATGCTTGAGTTGCTGGTAACAAATTGCTGCAATTTGGTTTTTAAAGTCAGAAAGGCCAGGAATTAATCAAACAGACATTTTGAACAACTCCTGTCCTCCAACTTAACAGAAACAGATATCAAGTCTACGATCCCCTTGGAAGCCCTTGGCCTTGTAGCTTCGGTTCTCTCCCTTCACAGAAGCAGAATCTCATTCCCTAATTTACATGCAGAAGGGAGAGGATAAGAGCTGAAGAAAATGCCCACTACTCCCTGGCTAGTCACTGTACTAGTCACCAGTAACTGCCACGCCTATGGGTATAAAACTTTGTGATTTTAAAAACTTTCCAGTGATCAAGACAGTGTGGTATTGGTAAAAGAGTAGACAAATTGGTTAATGGAACAGAATAGAGATCCCAGAAATAGACTCACACAAATACAGTCAAGTGATCTTTGAGAAAGAAGCAAGGCCATACCACATAGAAAGAAAAATCTTTTCAACCAATGGCGCTGGAATAACTGGATATCCACTCACAAAAGAAGGGGGAGAAGGAGGAGAGAAAGGAGAAGGAGAAGGAAGAGAAGAAAACGAACAAGAAGAAGAAAGAGGAGGAGAAAAGAAGAGAAGAAAACAATCTAAAAAAAGATCTTATATCTTCCACAAATATTAATGCAAAATAAATCATAGGCTAATATGTAAAATGCAAAACTATAATACTTTTAGAAGATATCCCAGGAGAAAAATCTAGATGACTTGGGTTTGTAGGTGCATTTTACACACCACATAAATGAAATAATCTATGAAAAAAACAATAGATTGAACTATATTAAAATTAAAAACTTTTGCTCTGTGGAAGACATTGTTAAGAAAGTAAGAAGACAAGCTGCAGACCAGGAGAAAAGGATTGCAAAACACGAAATAAAGGACTGATACCCAAAAATATCAAAATAATTAATGTTTTGGAATTCTTTCGCTGAATTCCCCAGAAGTAGGATCACTGAGTCATCATGCAGATCCACTTTTAATTTTCCGAGGTAGCTCCGTACTGCCTTCCACAGCAGCTGCACCAGTCTGCATCCCCACCGGCAGTGCACTAGGGTTCCGTTTCCCCACATCTTGGCCGACACTTGTCATTTGGGGATTTATCGATGATGGCCATTCTGACAGGTGTGAGGGAGTATTTCATTGTGGTTTTAACTTTCGTTTCTCTGACAATTAATGATGTTGAGCATCTTTTCATCTGTTTATTGGCCATCTGTATGTCATCTTTGGAGAGGTGTCTATTCAAGTCCTCTGCTCAGTTTTTAGTTAGGTTGTTCAGGGTGATTGTTCAGGGTATTTCAGGGGTAGGTAGTGAGTAGTATGAGTTCTTTATAAATTTCGAATATTATCCTCTTATCAGATATATTATTAATGAATATTTTCTCCCATTTAGTAGATTGTCTCAATTTGTTGTTTTTCTTTGCTGTGAAAAACTTTTTAATTTGATGTAATTAATTTTTGTTTATTTTTTCATTTCCTTTACCCAGAAGATATACCAGAAGCAATATTGCTAAGAGAAATGTCCAAGATTTTACTGCCTATGTTTTCTTCTAAGATTTATATGGTTTTGAGTCTAGCATTTAAGTTGTGAATCCACTTTGGGTTTATTTTTGTGTGTGGTATCAACAATGTGGTATAGTTTCAAATAGAGACAACTCTACTTGAACAACAATTTAAATAAACATTATAAAAACAGAATGTGGTCTAGTTTCATTTTTGCAACAAAGTCAGTTGCAAACTAAAATTTGGACATTTATCTCCTGATTCCAACTTCTGGATTCTTCCCACCGCGCCAGATGCGTCTGTCACCTCTGTGTGCGACGCCAGGGCAACTGCACCTTCCTACCTCCTCGTGCTCACCCCTCAGAGATGCTGCCAAGGCCAAAGAAAGCTCGAGAGAGGCCAGAAAGAGGAATGGGTGGGTGGACAGAGTCAAGGGCACAGTGTCTTTCACTGAGGTGACCTCCTGATTCCTGTATCTGGTCTGAGCACTGACACCCACTCACCGAGTCCTCACTTTAATGCATTACTTGGTAATACAGCAACTGAAATGAGAGGGTTTGGGGGTTAGTCAAGGGAAAAGGCATTAAATAACTTGTACATGACTAAATTATTCACATTTTCCTAACAGGGTATTTCCCAAAGTTCAGTCCTTTATATCCCATCTTCACAATTTTGCCGGGCCTGCCCATCACTTACACCATTTTTTCTTGATATTTTCCTTTATTTAGCCCTGTCCTAAAGAGTGCCAACTCGTGAAATCAGAAGTCTTCAGCACAGCACCACTTCAGACCACCTTGAGCAGCCAGGGGCTCCCATAACACACTTGAGAATGGCCACCCCAGGGAGATTGCCCCAATAATCAGAGCCCACTAGACCGAGACCAAGCAACTTGCCCTCCTCTGTACTCCTACCAGCCATCACAGTCTCTGGCACACAGGAGGTGCTCAAGAAAACATGTGTGGAACAAACGGATGAATGGTAAAAACTACTGACCACTCTGTTGCTCAGTTTCTCAGCAGCCATTTTAAATCTATTTTTTTTAGTTAACATTTCTAACCAACAACAATTTCCCAGTGTCCCCCAGAGCTATTGGCACCTCAGACCCTGCCCCAGTCACCAATGACATGCTCAGTCTGGATCACTTCCAGCTGAGGCAACACACAGTTGTCTCTGGCCCCACACGTTCCAGGTCCTTTAGGTTCTTCTCTGCTTTCAGAGCTCTGTCCCACTATGCCCTGAGTATCCAAGAAAACATAACCTTCTCTGGGACAACTTCCCCAAAGCCCCCTGGTGGAACTCTCTCCTTTTTGTACTCATAATAAGAACTCCCCTGCTCTTAATATTCTATATTATAATTGTCTATTTTCAAGAGTGAGCTCTGTTGGGTCAGGCACCACATCCATCTTGTGGTCCAGTAGCTGGTTCCATAGTGCCTGATAGGTGCTCCTGAAGTTAATGCTGCTCATGTTCACCTTCTGCATAGATAGGGAGCTCCTGTGTCTGATTCACCCTCAGGTCCCAGCACTCAACACACACCTGGGACATAGATGATACAGTGTCTGGAAGGAAGGAAGGAAGGAAGGAAGGAAGGAAGGAAGGAAGGAAGGAAGGAAGGAAGGAAGGAAGGAAGGAAGGAAGGGAGGGAAGGAGGAAATGTAAAGTGAAAGATATACTGTTTTATTCCATTGGTCTTATAGCTGGAATTCTGTACACAAATTCAGCCATGAACTCTGTGTTGTCTTCAGCTATACCAGTTGACAACCAGAAAGAAACAAACAATAATTAAATGACTACTAGAAACCAAGTATCATGTTAGGTACTTTCCATAGCTTATTTCATTACTCCTTAACTGTGTCAAAGGATATTATTATTCCCAGTTTATAAACAATGAAAAGTATTTTTCCTAGAAGTGAAGCATATTTTTCTACATCACTCCTATACAATCTGGGGCTGCAGCCTCGCTTTCCTACCAAAAAGAAAGGAAGCCAAAGAAAACTCTTATTTCTTCTCTGAGAGAAGCAACCTTGAAATCAACCACCCTCTTCCCTTTCATCTCTCAGAGGGAGTAGACTCACAAGGCAGATGGTGCTCCTGGGACCCAGAATCTTCTCTTCCATGTTCTTTACCTCCTTGCATGGGGAGCTCAAATGTTAGGCTGAATAAAAAGTCAATGTCATTGCAAAGTATACACAGACCCTGATGACAAGTTCATGAAAACCTGCACAAACTGCTTAATGAAAGTGGTGCATTTTTCTTACTACTGGGTCAGGGAGTTGCGGTCGCTGGACCGAAAGGAGAAGGCGCCAGTGTGCTGCTCCCTGCAGAAGGAGTGAGACCAAGTACACTGCCCAGGTGTCCGATGTCATGGTTGGGACAGTAACCCCAATCCCAGGGACACCGTCCTCGCCCTCCGCTCCCGCCCCTCCCCCACCGCAGAGCACCATGGGGAAGGCCCCGCTGAGGTGCTGGGCTGAGTTTAACAGGCTCCCTCTGGCTGCCTAGTGGATTAGAGGTTATGGGGATGAATGGAGAAGGCAAGAAGCCCTGGAGCAGGTGCCATCTATGACCCAGAGAAGAGCTGTCAGATGGGAGTTGGGCCTCACAGGTTCTAGTGACCTTCGAGGGTGTTGCCATGTACCTGTCCAGGACAGAATGGATCCTCCTCGATGAGGCTCGGAGATGCCTGTACTTCAATGTCATGGTGGAGAACTATGCTCTCATATCATCTCTGGGTTGCTGCTATGCAGCAGAGCATGTGGTGGCACCCACTGAACAGAAAATTATTGTAAGAATCTCAAAGGCTATGAATCTGAAGTCAGGACTGTCTTTCCAGAAAAGCCACCCATGTGAGAGGTGTGTGTGTGTCTTGAGAGACATACCCCTCTTGGTTGACCAGCAGGGAACCCAACAGGGCCCAACACTGCTAAGGTGTGGGGCATGTGCAAAACCATTTTATTTCAGTGCACAGAGTCACCAGCTCCAGGAGCAGGACACAACAAAGAATTGTCTCATTAGCAGTGTGGACAGGGTCTCACTAGCAAAGAAGTACAATTTCTATGTGCCACGGAAGCCTTGTACTTCTAGTCAGGTTGAAAAATGTTTCCCATCAGCTCCAGATATCGTGATTAACTAGTTGTTTACACCTTGCACGTGGAAAACAAAATCTGGAAGTCTGGAATGACTTTTAAAACTACAAAATATTACACCCCAAGAGAATGCAAGAAAGCCATTGGCTGTGATAATGCACTCATTGAGGACCACGAATTCCTTACTGGAAAAGAGCATTTTCATGTTGTGAATGGTGCAAGTCTTTTGCCAGAATTTCTTCCCTTCATGTTCATTGGAGAGTTGACACTGGAGAAGGGCCCTATGAGTGCACTGAAGGTCGGCAGGCTTTTACCAGAATTTCTTGTGTTCGAGTACATCAGAGAGTTCACACTGGAGAAGGGCCTTATAATTGCGGTGAACAAGGGAAATATTTCACTAGTAGCCCTGCAGTCCATGAACAGAGTTCACACTGGAAAAAGGCCTTATAAGCGCGATGAACGTGGGAAATGTTTTGCATTCAGCTCTACCCTCCGTGTTCATCTCAGAATTCACACAGGAGAAAAGGCCTTTTAGTTGTGGTGAATGTGGAAAATTTTTTATCCATAGCTTTTTCCTCCACCATCTTTAGAAAGTTGACACTGAAGAAAGTCTTTATAAGTCTGGTGAATGTGGAAAATCTTTTAACAATAGCTCTGAACTTTGTCTGCACCACACAGCTCACACTGGAGAAAGGCCTTGTGGGTGTAGTGAACATGGGAAATCTTGTACCCGAAGCGCTGCCCTCCACTTTCATGAAAGTGTTACACTGGATAAAGTACTCATACATGCACTAAATGGGGAAAGAATTTTTGTGTACCATTCGCCTCAATTATTACCCAAGTTTCACACCTAGAAACACTTAATAGTGTGGTGAATGTGGGAAATCTTATCTGTTGTATTAACTATCATTGTTATCAGGGACTACACACAAGAGGAAAGTTTTATGGCTGCAGGGAATGTGGGAAATGTTTAATCAGTCACCTTCTTCATCCTTGGAGACTTCACAGTAGAGAAAGGCCTCACGAGTGCAGTGAAAGTGGGAAACCCTTTTTCTGTAGCTGTCCTGTTGTCATCAGAGGGTTCTCCCTGGAGAATGGCTTTATGCCGGCAGTGAATGTGAGAAGTCATTTCCCCATTATTGTGAGAGAGTTACAGTGTAGAAAAGTGTTTTCAGTACTATGAGTATGGCAAATCTATTACCAGTAGCTACAAAATTTTATGAGACAATTCACAAGGACTATTTTTTTATAAGTTTAGAATATTTGGGAAATCATTTCTTTCATGCACCTGGAGCTGGACTAAGGTTGACCCCTAACCTAAGTATGTGCCCTAATCCATAATCAACTTTGCATCATTTTGGTGACTAGATGATGCTCTTTGCACTGATCCACACTGGCCATGGCTCTCTCCCTCTTTCTTCACTGTCTTTCCCCTCTCTCTAGAAATAATTAAGCAAATAAATAAATAAGTAATGTTTGAAACACACATCTATTCAGGGTCAGAATCAGACTGTCTTATTTGGCATTCAGCAGCATGGATAAAAAAACCAATCAAATTAAAATACTTTGGGGGGATGTTTTACACTTTCCACATAAGAGGAACTAAAATAACCTGTTGTAAAATTATTCACAAATACAGTCCTCGAGTTTTTTGCCCGCCCGCATGACTTCCGTCTAAAGCATGTCTGCTGTACCAGCCTGGCCCTGCCACCACTGTGCTTGGCTGAGTTCACACAAATGTGTTGAAACCTGTAGTCTCCCTGGCTCTCCTCTCCTGACAGTTTAGAGTGAGGCACAAATGGGACCAAACATGATAGAAGTCTCGATAGTTCTTTATTCATTTCAATTGATTAGATCTACCCATTGTTGAAAGGGGAATATTTAAATTGTTTCTATTGTTTTGTTGTATTTTCTGACTTCAGATCTTATATTATTTGCTTAATATACTGACCTAATATACTTAGTTATCTGTGGTTGGATGCATAGTAATTAAAATTATTATCCTCTTGGAAAAAAAAAGTGGCACATGTCACTAACATGCACAGCACATCCTGTGTTGGAAGCAATACTTTTTGTTAGCAGTGACCCCTCTTCCTACCTTGGAGCTCACCGAACAGCTAAAATCAGATGGTATTTATGTGCAGAACATGTGACATAGTATGCCCTTTTGCTCAGTGACCCATATTAAGAACCAAATAGAGCCAGACTAGAAAGCAACGTCAAATTGTTCAAATAAATTCCACTTAAAGAATGGTGACTTGAGGGAATTTCTCAGCCAGAAAGAATTCTCCCAAGACTTATTCACTGCAAAGAAGAAGAAAAGAGCATTTAACTCTGGTTTGAAATGACATCTGATGAAATTACATGAAGGTGATGAAACGTCATCCTCTGAGCAACAGCTGAGCCCCATTTTAGTACCCCCCTCTCACCTGCTACCTTCCCATTTTACCCACTAGCGACCTTTTCATATGAGAGGCTAAGAAAAGCAACCAATATAAGGTTTAGTTGAAAATGAGCACTAGAAACTTATGAAGAGAAATTCATAATTAAGCCTAAAAATTGTCTCTCAAAAATTAATTGGAACCAACTCTGAGAATTGCCATAAAGTTATAACATGTCTAGCATCCTATTTGTTTGTCCCTTCACCCAATTCTCTTTCAAACCTCTCTTTCTCCCCCCTCTCCCACATATTTCTTATTTAATAAACCTGTTTGCAAGAAAGGATTCTTAGGTTAGTCGTTCACACTTTAGTGTGAATTTCAAGCCATAGCTCTAACTATGGAATAGTTGTTTTTGAATACTTTTAAAGATATTTCGTGGAACAGCTTAATAAAAAGAAGAGAAACTGCTGGAGTCTGCCTATGCATAAAGGCAGGCTTGAGTCCAATTTTGAGAAAGGAAAGCCTTCAGCTGCCACTTCCAATTGAAAGTGAATTCAAATTAATTTAGACCTTGGGTGAGAGCTACAATTTTTCCTTCAGAGATTTACTAGTTTCAATGCCCTCCCCTTCTCCTCTAGGCCCAGGAAACAGATCTATTTCTGATGGCCTGTGTCAGTACAGTAGGATCTGTTCTCACTTGACACCTGGTCTTTCTACTCCAGATGCCCTTTCCCCACCAGCTGTTATTTGAAAAGGCACAACAGGAGCTGCCTGGGCCAAATGGGGCCGTGAGTCCTTCAACAAGTGTTCTGCCTTGAGTGCGACCCTCAGAGCAGAAAGTTGATAGCGCTCTGACACGTGGCCGGTCCCCAGAGACTCTCATCCTCTCTCAGCCGGAAGAACTTCAAAACTAAGCCAGTGGAAAATTCAGTCTGTTCCAAGCAAGAGAGATGAGTGTGCTCCCAAAATGAATACTGGCATTTGGTAATGCTCTAGGGTATTATAAATATAATCTTTCTGAGGTGTGAGTGTATGTAAGGGATGGAGCAGGGTGTGTGTGTGTGTGTGTGTGTGTGTGTGGTGACAGAAAGAGGAATGAGTGCAGGCCTAGAGCCCAAAAGTCCCAGTGTAAGGAACTCAAGGCCAGGCATAGAGAAGAATGTCCATTCTGTGCCCGATTACTAAATTCAGCATTGTCTCTTGCTTCCTCACTGAAGAAACAGGAGAAAGGGAGAGAGAGAGAATAGGGGAAAGTGGGGGGGGGGGAGAATGATAGAGAAAAGAAGAGACAGTGACAGAGAGAGAGCACGAGAGAGGAGCCAGGGTGGAGAGAGGAATGGGAAGTGGGGCTCTTTTCAGGACATAGACCAGAAGGCCTAGACTATGAGAGACAGTCAGAATGAGAAACTGCTGATAAGTCACATGTCCCTCCACCAGCTACAAGCGATTGATTTCAGCCTGTCCTGTGCTTTGCCATCTATCAAGTTCCATGGCCAAATGGCCCACCTTCCATAACACGGTGCCAAGGCTACTCCACCATCCACAGTGCATTCTGTTTCCTGCCAAAAAGAAGGGCTTGTTGGGGTGGGTCTTAGACCCTCTGGGTTTCTGCACATAATGACCAGTCTCTGGAACTGAAGAACAGAATAGAGTAAAGTGAACTGACCCTATAAGAGGGCCCTTATGACCTTCACTGCCCTTTAACCAACCCCACTGACCAGCCCCAGGGCAGGGGCTCTGAACTTCGTGTGCTATGGCTCTCATTCACAGGCTGGAGAGCCCATAGACCCCTTCTCAGAACCATGTTTTAAGTCCATAAACTATGAAGGGAAACAACTACACTGTTACAATTATCAAATATAAATAACATGAAATAGTAATATTTGTACTTCCATTAATGCTTTAAATGATAAATTCTGATGAAGGATCCAAAAACTACAGTCATTTCAAATTGGAATGGAAGAAAACAGCGTGGGGGTTTTTGTTTGCTTTTTAACGTGTGATGTGGTAATATATATGCTTCTTTATTAACACTTTATTTTTAAGATATTTTATTGATTATACTATTACAGTTCTCCCATCCCCCCCTTTTGTTCCCCTCTGCTCTGCGTTCCCCTTCCACCAGCATTCACCTCCTTAGTTCATGTCCATGGGTCATACATACAAGTTTGTTGATTTCTCCATTTCATTCTTCTTAACCTCACCCTGTCTATTTTCTACATACTAATCATGCTTCTTATTCCCTCTACCTTTTTCCCCAATTTTCTGCTCTCCCCTCCCTGCTGATAACCCTCCATATAATCTACATTTTTGTGATTCTGTCCCTGTTCTAGTTGTTTGCTTAGTTCGTTTTGTTTTCCTTAGGTTCAATTATTGATAGTTGTGAGTTTGTTGTCATTTTACTTTTCACAGTTTTAATCTTCTTTTTCCTATATAAATCTGTTTAACGTTTCATATAATAAGGGCTTGATGATGATGAACTCCTTTAACTTGACCTTATCTGAGGAGCACTTTATCAACCCTTCCATTCTAAATGAAAGCTTTGCTGGATAGAGTCATCTTGGATGTAGATCCTTGCCTTTCATGACTTGGAATACTTCTTTCCAGCCCCTTCTTGCCTGCAAGGTCTCTTTTGAGAAATCAGCTGACATTCTGATGGCAACTCCTTTGTAAGTAACTGTCTCCTCTTCTCTTGCTGCTTTTAAGATTCTCTCCTTATCTTTAATCTTGAGAAATGTAATTATGATGTGCCTTGGTATGTTTCTCTTTGGGTCCAACTTTTTTGGGTCTCTCTGAGCTCCCTGGACTTCCTGGAAGTCTATTTTTCTTGCCAGGTTGGGGAAGTTCTTCTTCATTATTTGTTCAAATTAGTTTTCCACTTGTTGCTCTTCCTGTTCTCCTTCTGGCACCCCTATGATTCAGATGTTGGAATGTTTAAAGTTGTCCCATAGGTTTCTAAGCCTCTCTTCATCTTTTTGAATTCTTGTTTCTTCTCTGTTCTGATTTCATGTTTAACTCTTCCTTCTGTTCCAAATTGTTCATTTGAGTCCCAGTTTCCTTCCCTTTACTGTTGGTTCCCTGTATGTTTTCTCTATTACACTTTGCATAGCTTTTACTTATTCCTTTATTATGCAGCCATACACAAACATTTCTG